TTAGGCCAGTTTTGTCCCAGGATGCAACCCACATCAGTCGACTAACACCCAGGTACCCATTTTAAACTGATGGGTGAACAGGTTAGGTTAGAATACACTTAGCCCAATGGTGATATTTACGTATTGGCGATTTCACCCACTTTACGCCCTATTTTTGGCCCATTCCATTGTTCCAGTCTACCAAACTCATAGCTATTTCGCTAGTATTCCTTCCATTCTGTTGATTGCATATAAGAAACTGTCCATTTACCTATTTCAACTGCCCAGTAAAGTGGTCAGAAATTGTTAATTTGGACAATTTCACACAAATTCTCAAGAGATGCCAATTTCAAAAAAGGGTCCAGAATAAACAATGTAGACATTCCTGGCACTAAAATAACATTTTCTCTATTCATTAGTCACATCTCCAAGCTCCTCTTATATTACCTTGCTTTCCATTTGAATTTTTATTCACACAGAAAATAGAAGATTTACTGTTATGCAGACTACAGCATTATTGTAATAATTGTATAAATAATGTTAACTCATTCATGACTGCATATTAGACTAGCCAGTTGGATACATACTGGATGATGACATCATTTGTTTACTCTTGAAACCAATCAAAATCATATCAATTTCTGTAATACATCTTCCATTTATATAAAAAAAAAAGAAAGAAAGAGAATCCACCCATAAAAACCATATGAAAATACACTGCAAAGTCACTGTTTTATATCTTTTTAAAAACACGGTTGCAGTTTTTTCTCATTATGCACTGTGTGGTGCAGGATTTTTTTTTCATATAGTGCACACTTACCACACTGACCTATTCTCTCATATGTAGGCCCAAATTTACTCGTCACCGCTCATCTGAGTGAGCTGAGCTCATGGCGACTGACAATGGCTTAACCCCTTCAGGGTCCAAGGCCAAAATCTGAAGTGGTGCTCCAGTGTCCAAGAAATTTTGAAAAAAAAAAAAAAAAAAAAAAAAATTTCTTACAGAATTAAAGAGCATATTTTTGTGAAGGTAATAAGACAAAAAAAAAATTGTGATCAGTACTTACCGAGATACAGTGCCAAGAAGTTTGTCAAAAATGATGTGGTGGCGGCAACATCGACGAATTCCACATACGCGCATTACATTATTTTGCGGTTTTTACATTTTTTTCTTTTCTTTTCCAATTTTTTTCTATTCCTACTAACATTTGGGGCCTGAGAGACCAATACTGTATATAATGTATATTATTAAACTCACTGTATTGAACACAATAACCGCACTAAAGTTATCATATTATTGTTTACCACTGTTGTTTATTACAATAAACATGCACAAATCTTGTATAATACTAATGTTCTATCATATATTTACATATTTACAATCACTGGACATGGTTTTAGAACTGCTGGAGCTTGTGGAACTCCTTGAAACAAGGCACCATGCACAGAGGCACCTTACATTCTCACACATAAACCGAGTGTCTTTGCGTCTTTGTTGCCGTCGTTTTGTTTGTGCACAGACGATGCATCTCTTCTGAGCAAATTTCTTCTGAGTTGAAGGAAGTTGTATTATGAAATGATCACCTTCCCTCCTCAAACGCTTGGGTATATCCTGAGGAATTCGAGGACCTTGTTGTATAGCAGGTGTTCTTACCTGGTACTTCATTATGAGTTGTCTGACAACAGACAAACAAAATTCACCATACAGTGGTCTGTTGCCAGTCTTTATTTGGTACATATTATATGCATTGAGCATTGAAATGTCCATGAGATGGAAGAAAAGTTTCATGTACCACTTGTAACTCTTACAAACACAGTCAACAAAACCAATCTGCATGTCACATTTGTCAACCAAGCGCATGTTTTGTGTATAATCAATCACTGTCACTGGTTTTCGAATACGTTCATTAGTCACTCGATCAACTTGCCACTGTCTTGCATTTCATTACGGTGAATGGTTGTCAACAATGTGACATCTCGTTTGTCATGCCACCATAATGCCATGATGTCATTGGCAGTAAACACCTGCACGTCATCACCACGAGCACCTGCGTTGAGCCTGGGCATATGTTTACGATTAGAACTCACTGTCCCACACCCCATCTGTCTTGTTCACTCGCATGAAATCACTGAGTAATGGGCTTGTGTACCAGTTATCGGTATATAATGTATGCCCCTTACCAAGATAAGGTGCCATCATGTTTCTCACTATGTCACCTGAGATACCCAATAACATCTTGGTATCTTTCAATGTTTTACTACCCGTGTATACAACAATATCCAACACCAGGCCACTGTCACAATCACAGAGTACAAACAGTTTTATACCAAAGCGTTTCCTCTTGCTCGGTATGTACTGCTTGAATGACAGTCTACCTTTGAACAAAATCAAAGACTCGTCAATTACAAGATTCTTGAATGGATAAAAGTATATGCTGAACTTTTGTTTGAGATACATGAAAACATTTCTAATCTTGTATAACCTGTCACTTCTGTCAGGCCTGGTTTTGTCAGAGAAGTGCAACATACGTAAGAGTAAGATAAACTGGTATGATTTCACTGAAGACCGGGGTAGAAATTAGCTGATCGATCAGCGCTTCCCCTTTGATTATAATAATAATAATATACACATGAGGCATAAGCATTATTGTTGCAAAAAGCAAATACATTTCTGCAACAGTCGTCTCTTTCCACCTGTGTAGTCTTGACTGTGGTGATAAGATCATATTTGCCATGGTGTACTCAAAATACTTATTACTTTCCCTGACAATAGTTTCCATCAATGGCTGGTCAAAGAATAATTCAAAGAATTCCAGTTCATTGGCCATGGTTCCAAGGGGACAAGTAGGTAGAATTCACTTTGAGAGTCATCAAAGTGGTGAGGCTTGGGAACAAAATTGGGATTTTTGCTGCCAATCCCACATACGGTTTGCTGGTGGATACATGGGACATCATAGGCTGGTTGTGCGGGTGGTTGTGGTTGTGGTGGGCTGGTAGCTGACGCTCCGCTTTGTCCTTGAACCGACGAGTCAGCAGCGTTTGGGGCCAGCGTGGGCTGGTGGGGTCACGCATGGCAGTGCCACTACCATCACCACTAACACCATCCACTGATGCCTGTGATCTATCCATGCCAAGTGTAGCCACATCATCCTCACTATCACTACCTAAAACTGGTTGTAGGGCCACAGGATGTACTCCGGGATGTACTCCGTCCCCTGGGCACAGCATAGGGTACACTACCTGAGCGCATGCGGCGGCGAACATACCGACGCTTCACTGGTGAATATGATTCCTCACTATCACTACTCGAATGATCGTTCGAGTGCAATAAAATCACAATCCACATCACTATCATCATCATTACTGAAGTCAGAGGCCTGGCCACGCGAAAATTTTAGTTTTCTCTTGCGTTGAGGAACAACCGACCGTGAGTCACGAGTGCCCACACCAGAGGTAGAAGGTTGAGGATCGTCAGGGTTTTCTGCACTATTATCGATATCCTGGTCATTCTTTTCGGTCACTAACTGATCAAAGCCGTAGAATTCGTCTTCATTTCCACTTCCATCACTGTCAGAACTATCAGATAGGAAGAGGAGAGTCCCAATTTTCCAGGGAGTGAGAGCTGACTTGCAACGAGGCATGGTGAACAAGGGTAACTTAGCCGGCGTTCCCACAATGCTATGCAGGCGCCTAGATTTTTTGTTTATGGCGCACACCTGCCACTGTAGACCCGTTCTCTCACATGTAGGCCTATGAGCGTTTTTGCACTAAATTTAACGGCGCTAGAATTTTGGCGTAGAACTACGGTTTGGACACTCAACGTGAAGCCGTAGATCTACGGGACGGACCCTGAAAGGGTTAAAAGCCACCTTATCTTATATGGACATGCTTTTTACAGCAAGAAGCATTTCTTTTATTCACTGGAACCATGGCTAGGGCTAAATGTGAGCAGGTTATAACAATATATGGAGAAAAAGAAATTGGAATAACTTATGCAGCAAGTAGCGACAGGTTGGTGTGGCGACCCTGGAAATTTGAAATTATGCTAGCTGAAATTAGTGCTGGATTACTGATGGAACCAGATTACTGACTGCTGGATTAGTAATGGCCAACCTGTACTAGATTCTCTAAGAATTATATGATTTTTGTTTTTTTTTGTTTATTTGGTCTCAGAAATTGTTACTATATCTTGTTCCAAATGTATTTTGGGTCTTAGAACTGATGGTTGTGAACTGGACAAAAGCATTATACTGTGTATATTTATCAAGTGTATTTCCACAGTTATGAAAGGTTGTTTACCATGGAATATTGTGTACATTTTAGACACCTATCATGTTTTGTTCATATCTCTGTAGAAAAACAAATGTAAAGTTAGCATTTATCAATTCTGTTAGGGCACTGAGGTCTTTATTGTGTCTGCTTAGCTTTGAAACCAAACTAGAATGCATATCTAATAACAAATTATTAGTCATTCTGTCAAACAGTATATACCTTGAATTTATCACATGAAACTTGATTATGATAAAAAAAAGACAGACCCTCCAGAATCATGCATTTTTCTTGCTTAAAAACTTTCAATAGCAGAATGATTTAAAAATAAACTGTCTATGAATGAATGAAAGAATATGCATCCCAAAAGTAGTATGAACATTATTTATCTTACTGGTATCTCTGCATTCATTACTTTTAAACAGTAATTATTTAGTAATTATATACAGTGGTACCCCGAGTTTCAAACTGCTCCCAACTCGACCAATTATGTAAGTGTATTATTGTAAATGCTTTTGTAAGTGTATTTTTGGGGGTCTGAAATGGATTAATCTAATTTACATTATTCCTTATGGGATCCAATTCGTTCAGTAACGGTAAGTTCAAAACTAGGGGTACCACTGTACTCCAGATTTAAAAAAAAAATTAATCCTGAAATACAAACTCATCAGATTTATGTATAATACACTGTATATGGTTAATAGTGTTATCCAATACACGACAAGCAGAGCTAAAAATATTGTGGGACTTACCTTGGTGAGCTGTCCCTGCTGCAGACATGAAACAGAATGCAACAAGTAAATGTTTAAGAACAATTACATCAAATATAGTGGACAAAATGCACAGTTAGATCAAAACAAAGCTAAGATAGTAATGGTGCATGGTGATACTTCAGACACAGGGAGATTTCAGATAGTCAGTCATCATAAAGAACCACTGACTTGACACCCTCGACACTCAGATGTTAGGTGTTAATTTGAAGCCATCAATATATTCATTTTGCTATGATACATTTTATATTAACCCCTTAACTGTCCAAATGTAGATCTACGTTCTCTTGCACAGCGCTTCGAATATGTATTTAAAAAAAAAACCAGTAGTTTTTATTTTTTTAAAATAAAGAGGACATTTTTTACATAAAGTAATGCAAAAAAAATTTTTTTTAGAGTCAGTACTTATGGACATATAAGGCTGCAGAGTCGGCGCAAGTTGCTCTCCTGATGGCAACATTAAGTGCTGCCGCTTGCAGAAATGTTGCTGATATACCTTTTTTTCTCATTTTTATTTTAATTTGAATAATTTTTATGTTCTAATAATTACAATTTGCAGTAATTCTTGTGATTTCATAGCTAATCTTTGCTCTGACACTAATATTAGGTACTGAAATAGTACTCAAATAGTCACAAACATAGTGACAGGTGAAAATTTTTGCCTACCTTAGTCCCATACTATTGTCTAGAAATATATACATAGTATTTATAGGTCCCAGCAATGTTTTGGATATGTGGGAGTATATAATAAAATAATAATAATAATAATAATAATAATAATAATAAATTTCTTTTATTATTATTGTTATTTTGATTTATTATCACACTGCGATTCCCACCAGGCAGGTGCCCGAAAGAAAAACTTGTACATCATTCACTCCATCAGTTTGCACGAAGGTTGCTTTACACTAAGTTTTTAAACTGTACACATAAACACCCCTCTCAGAGTGCAGGCACTGTACTTCCCGTCCTGAGTGGTAAGTCAGTGCCTCACTCTGAAGGAGGGGTTAATGTTGCAGTTTAAAACTGTAGTGTAGCCCCTTCTGCAGACAGTGATGGCTGAATGATGGTAAGTTTTTCTTTTCGGGCACCCTGCCTTGGTGGGATCGCCATGTGATAAAAAAAATAAAAATATAATAATAATAATTCCTGAGCATGGTGTAATCTGAGTACTCACTGCTGACAGTGCACAATGGTGACTTTGATGCATGTGCACTGACTTGGCTTGATTTATTTGCTGTTACACATAAACAGTCTATCTGTCTAGTCTCTGTCATCTGTCTGTCTATTTGTCTACCTCGTTTATCTGTCTCTGCTAATTTCTGTCTCTTGTTGCTTGTCTCACTTTCTGATCTCTGTCTCGAGAGAGCCACTCTGAGCCAACAGCATACACATGACGTGTCGTCACATTGATTCTGAGCAAGTGCTAATATGTATTATTGCAGTCATGCTTACATGCATTAATTTATAAGCACAGTAGCACTTGTCGGATTTGGTATCCTAGTAATTTACACTATGTATAATTGTATGTATTTATGTGTACCTGTGAGACAGAGATAGACAGATACAGAAACAGAGACAGATAGACAGAGAAAGATATAGATATAGACAGACAGACAGAGATAGAAACAAAGTCAATCAGCCAGTCAAGTCAGCTGCCAGCCAGCCAGCTGGATGGCCAGGTACACATAAATACAATTATACATAGTATAAATTACCTAGGAAAGCCCCAAAAATTCAGACAAAGTGCTATACTGTGCTTGTAGATATAATGCATAGTAAACATGACTGGCAACTGGCAAGTAATACATATTTACACTTGCTCAGGAATCAGATGTGAAGATGCAATTGTGTGTAATACCTGTTGGTTCACGAGTGGCTCTCTCTGAGACAGACAAGCAGACAGAGAGACAGAAAGACAGATAAGCAGAGACAGATAAACAGAGAGCTAGACAGATAGATGGACAGACAGATGGACAGACAGATGGACAGACAGACAGACAGACAGACAGACAGCCAGCCAGCCAGCCAGCCAGCCAGCCAGCCAGCCAGCCAGCCAGCCAGCCAGCCTGCCTGCCTGCCTGCCAAACATGTATTGCACGTTCCAGAATTGCTTCTCTTTACTTAGGGCATAGATTTAAAATGGGAGTGTTAATACTACAGGACATCAGTGTATCCCAGGTGTTTGCAGCTGCTGTTTGCTCTAACTGGTGCTCAATTGAACTAGTGCTCCCACAAGATAATAAGTGGTCCCAGATTTTTTTAATGCTAAGCACACTGAGTGTTAAGACCCATTCTATGCTACCAGGCATCTCAGGCCAATCATGCCAAATTTGGAGGCAGGAAAAATAAAACTTAGATCTATGTTTGGAGCGCTAGCGATAAGAGTGTAGATCTAAGTTTGGACAGTTCAGGGGTTAATATCTCAGCCTCAGTTTTTTAATGTTTCCTGTGTCTCAAAAACTAATCTTGTTTTTAGGCATCCCTGAAAAGGGATACGGTACCTAGAGTGATTGCCAGATTTTTCCTTCATAGGTTTAGGCGTAATACTATTTTGAAAATGCCTCTTATTAGCTTCAAACTTTTAGCACTGGGGTAGCTTATTTAGAGAAAGGTACAGCTTGTATAGGTGCAGAGTAGGTGCCAATTTACTACTTTATACACTGCTTAATTTACAGGCTAAGAGTTATTATCCTACCTCAGCTTGTTTCAAAGCTCAGCTCTATCTAAAGTGCACTACCACCCCAGGATGTGACCCACAACAGTCAGCTAAGACCTAGGTACCCAGATATTTATAAGCTGTTGAACAGGAGAAACAGGTTTCTACTCACCCTGATTACTATGGTAGTGAGATATCACTGAGCTACTAACCATCCCAATCTTTTTAGATTTAAAAATTTGGACCTTCAAAATATTCTGTCATGGAATGTAAATACAGTGGACCCCAGTTTTCGTCTAGTGCAGAAATCGTACAATTTGGATTTCAAGCACTTTTTTCGGTGAAATTTTCGCCTGGGTTTTGTATATCTGCTCGGAAATCATTGGTACCAGACGCGTGCGCCTGGGCCGCTCATATGTTCGTGACTCACTTTTGGGCACATTAAATGTCTTATTTTAGGTTAATATAGACATATTCATTAATCCATCTATGATATTTTCTTCAAAATTATATAAGAAACACATTACATAGCATGTAAACATGCCTTTGCTACTCGTTCACTAAGAGTGTCCCTCTAGTCTAAATGCCATAGTTATAATACTCTACTAATATGTAATAATAATCACTCTTTGGCACATTAAATGTCTTATTGTAGGTTAATATAGACATTTTCATTAACCCTTTGACTGTTGCAACCCCCAATCCTAGAGTGTCTCTCAGTGTTGCAAAATATTTGAAAAAAAAAAAAAAAAAAAAAAAAAATTCTTATGAAATGATAGAGAATCTTTTCCCAATGCTAATGACACCAAAAGTAAAAAATTCAATGGAAAACTTATGGAATTATGCTCTCATGAAGTTAGCGATCTCGGCGATATTTACAAATCGGTGATTTCACCCACTTTGAGCCCTATTTTCGGCCAATTTCACTGTTCCAGTGAAACAAACTCATAGCTATTTCTTTAGAACTCCATTTGTTCTATCGATTGAGTACAAGAAACTGCCTATTTACCAATCTGAACTACCCAATAAAGTGGTCAGAAATTGGCAATTTGGCCAATTTCACACAAATTAAAAAGTATGCCAATTTCAAAATAGGGTCCAGAATGAATAATGCAGACATTCCTGGCACTAAAATAACACTTTCTCTGTTCATCAGTCATGTCTCCAGGCCCCTTTTATATTATTCTTGCTTTCTATTTTGAATTTTTATTCACACAAAAAATAGAAGATTTACTATTATGCAGACTACTGCATTATTGTAATAATTGTATAAATAATGTCAACCCATTCATGACTGCATATCAGAATGGCTAGCTGGAAATTTATTGGACAATGATGTCATTTGTTTACTCTTGAACATCAGCAAGGTCCTTTTCATAGTGAAATAATCAAAATCATCTCTATTTCTATAATATGTCTTCCATTCTATCAAAGAAGACCAAGAAAACGAGAATACAACCATAAATACTACATGAAAATACACCTCAAACTTGGCGTTTTAAACCATAAACACAGTCAAAGTTTTTTTTCTCATTATGCACTGCGTGCTGCAGGATTTTTTTTATACTGCACACACTGACCACACAGACCCATTCTCTCACATGTGGGCCTACCAGCTTTCTCCTGCTTGATTTAAAGCAGCTACAATTTTTGAGTATATATAAGTCAAACACATTGGCTGCCTCGGTGGAAGACGGCCAACTTGTTGAAAAAAAAAAAAAAAAATAATATATATATATATATATATATATATATATATATATAGTATATATATATATATATATATATATATATATATATATATATTATATATATATATATAATATATATATATATATATATATATTATATACAACAGAAACAGTCAAAGGGTTAATCCATCTATGATATTTTCTTCAAAATTATATAAGAAACACGTTACATAGCATATAAACATGCAGTACATGTATTTATATGCGATGTATGTTTGATAATAATCACTCTTGGGCACATTAAATGTCTTATTTTAGGTTAATATAGGCATTTTCATTAATCCATCTATGATATTTTCTTCAAAATTATATAAGAAACATGTTATATAGAATATCGAGGGGTGAATCGGTGGAGGGAAAACATTACGTTTTTTTTGGTCCAGCATTAGAGAAAACTGTACGAATCTGTGTCTGGACCAGTCACTGCCCTTAATACACAATGCTTTTGTTTACAATTCTCGGCATAAATTATTCATTACTTTTCCCTTTGTTTATGATGGTATCTAAAGGTAATTGTTAGAAACGATTAAACTCAGTGAACATGGTATGTTGATGGTAATAATATGGCTGTGGGCTGCAGTGTATGTAGC